ACACGTCAAAAAGGAAGAGGCTGCGGCGCAGGCCCACTAGCAGCAGAATCCTATAGGCCACAACCCTTTTTGTCCCGCCCCCTCCGTCTCAAAATGACCAACCAGAGGGCGAGCCGCCCTTGACGTTATTTTCCAGCGACCGAGCCGGAAGCAGTGGTGTTTCCTGGTGCTGGAGCCGAGGCAATGAGCAGTCAGGAGGTGCTGGGCCAGGCTGCTCGGCTGGCCTCCTCCGGGCTCCTCCTGCAGGTACTCTGCCTGTTTGGCCCCTGTCGGTGCCGCAACCAGGATTTGCGGGGAGGGTGGCCCCGGGGCCCGTAAGAACCCGCCGGCAGGCAGACCCGGCTCTGACCGGGACCCCTCTGGGGAGGTGTGTTCTCAGGAGACGGCGGCGGTGGGGAGGCTTGCGTCGGGACCCGGAATCGGGAGCCCGCCTTTAGAGTCTTGGCTGAGCGACTACAAACAAAACCTGTTTTTAGCCCCCCCTGAGCGTTCTATTTTCCATATGGCAGTAGGAGAGCGTTCGATTCAATGGCGGGGAGCGTTTGGTGGTCGAGAATCTGATAGTTTTAAGGCGAGGGGTCCATTTTCTGCACGTGGTGTCCCAGACCTTCAAACATCTCTCCTCCACTCTTAACTCCCATAGATTTTAGAGAGACTGTGGCATAGCTAAGAACCTCGACCTGGGTTCATGGACTGAAGCCATGTATTTGTTGTGTGAGAAGTGACCTCATCTCGAATGCCAGTTCCTCGTTGATACATGAGGGTAATAATAGTCGCTGTGTTGCAAGGATTGATTGGGATCACTCGAGTAAACGCACTTAATTCAGAACCTGTACCTTAGTGTCTACACAATAAACGTTGACTGCATCTTTCTTTGAACTTGCACAAGTTATTCTCCCTTCTAGGTTCTAATTTTTGTCATCTACTAGATATTATACATACTACACCATCCAAATGCCAGCTAAAGACTCTTTCCAGCCTAAGAATTGTTTATTCTAAGTTAGGAGGTTCAAGCTTTCTATCTCATTCTTGAGCTTATCCGCCCTACTTCACCCAAGTCCTGAATCCGTCCTTCCTATTGTTTTAGAGAGGTACCTAGAGGTTAGGAGGAAGAACCCTGACAGGTGGGCCTCAGTTTGAGGCTTGTTATTTGCTGAATGCCAGCCCTTGAGAAAACTGCTTGACTTCTCAGAGCATCTGTTTTCTCATTTTAAATGAGAACAATAATGAAACCTTGGGGCTATTAGGAAAATTAGATGAAGTCATGCCTTTTAAGTGCCAGGCACATTACAAGTCCTTAATACATGTTAGCTATTTTTATTAGGGTAGTAAATTTTTAAATAGGTAGTATAATTGCACATGGTGGTGCATGCCTGTAATCCCAGCACTCGAGAGACTGATGCAGGAAGAATGCCACGAGTTCAAGGCCCACCTCTGCTACATGGTGCGTTCAGGGGCAGCCTGAGCTATGTAGTGAAACCCTGTCTCAAAAACCTGAAAAAAGGGCTGGCAAGATAGCTCAGCGGACTAAGCACCGACTTAGGCAAGATCAGGGACAGGGCTTGATCCCTGGCACCACATGCCGTGCTGGTGCTGCCCTTAGGCATGCTGAGCTGGCCACCAAGACTGGTGTGGTAACACATGCCTGTCATCCCAGTGCTGGGGAGGTGAAAACCAGAGGATCACTATGAGTCTGAGCTGCATGGTGAGACCCTGTACCAAATACATTAAAGACAAAGGCAGTGTAGGAATGAAATGAGATAATCTACATAGGGCATGTAGAAGATTGCTTTGCCCATGATGTGTGCTTGTAAATGTTAGGCTGTCTTCACCCTACCTTCATTTACCTAATTGCTTTTCTTGGGGCCGGAGAGATAGCTCAGTGGCATAATGCCTGCCTGGCGAATGCAAGGTCCCAAATTCAATCTTTAGTTCCTAATTGCTTTTCTTTCATTCTTTCCTCCCTCTGTCACCCTCATTCCTCTCTTTTGTTGAATCCATTGCCTTTGCTATATTCTCCCTCTCCCTTTTTTTTGAGACAGGATGTTGCTAAGTTGCCCAGGCTGGACTTTAACTTGAAATAATCCTCCCTCCCCTGAGTAACTCATAGGTAGCTTGTTTTTGTTTAATTTCACAATAGGGACATATTGAGAATTTCAAAACAGT